ATCCTTACGGATTGCATAAATCTTGTTGTGAAAATGAGTGGCAATCTTGCGGGCGGTGAGTGAGGTACTGAGTGGAGGAGGAGGGGGGGGGGGAGAGAGTAGGGAGTTGAAGGTGGAGAAGAGAGTCGGCGAGGGCAGGAGGAGAGGGTGTTGATCAGGTTTACGAAGTAAGCCTGCTTGGCGGCGTGGAGGGAGGAGGTGTAGGTGAGGAAGGCAGATTTGTAGAGGGAGAATGCACGAGGGGACCTGGTTTTGCGCCAAAGTCTCTCTAGCCTCGAAGGAGGAGAAGGTTAGGGAGGGGGGGGTTAGGGAGGACATGGAAGGTGCTCAGCGGTGATAGGAGCAGGCCGACACCACCACCTTTGTGACCGCTCAGTCAATGGGACCAGACGAGACCTCCATAGGAGAGTGCCGCAGGGGAGGTGGAGTCAGTGGCCTGTACCCAGGTTTCGGTGATGGCTAGGAGGTTGAGGGAGTGGGAGATAAAGAGGTCATGGATGGCGGTAAGCTTGTTGCAGACCGAGCGGGCGTTCAGGAGTGCAACCGAGAGAGGGGGGTATGGATGCGGGGAGGAGGGGCACAGGTATGAGGTTGAGGGGGTTACGGCGGTTGGCAGGAGCAGTGGGGTCCCTAGAGGAGGGGTGAGGTGGTGATTGGTAACAAATGGAATGTAGCATGTACAAACAGGGAGTACTCATTCGTGTGTGTCCAGGACAAATACGCTTAGAACAGTAAAAAAAAATAGGTATCTAGGTTCCCAGACCAGCGACATGTCAGCCACTGGGGTCTGGTTTTGAATTTATTTATTTTTTTAAATTAAAAAAAAATAAAAATAAAAAAATGTACACACCTCTGTTCTACACAATAAGCAGTAGAATAGTGGAATAAAGTCAGACACTAATGACTTGATGTTTCAGCACACAACACACATACAACAGCTTTGAATTGTCAGGAAGAAGAATAGCTGAAGGTTACACATGAATGGGATGGAGCTGAGAATCAAATGATTCTCTTGCAGAACGCAAAGAGGCAGACGGGGGGGGGGGGGGGAAGCTAGTAATTATAAAGGAAGGAAAATGCAAATGGAACAAATGAAAAGGCAATGGCTCCCAGACGGGCATTTTAGGTGAAGGAGATTTTCCCCTGCAGTATGAATGTGACAGGAAGAGGTCTGCGATTAGGTATGCACCCTCACCTATCTCACATGGCAATGCACACACAATACATACTTCCATTCTCTTGATAAAGCAATATACAGTAACAGGGATACCATATATTTATAAGGGAACGTAAAATGCAGATTTGTAATGTTATTTATTTTTGTAAATATTACATTTTGGGCTACCAGTGGAGCTGCGCAAATCACTAAATACAATCAATACTTCTTTTAGTTTCTAGGTGGAGAGGCTTTTGTGCCCACCAATCTATTACTGTACATCATTCTCACTGACTACAAAGCAAACTAGGAGAGGTCTTACAGCACAGACCATTTTAAAGCCCAACTTCAGGCTGAGCAGATCACACACTCCCCCCTCCCCCCCCCACCCCCCCCCCCAAAAAAAAAAACACCTTCATTTTTTTTTTTTAATATTTATTTTTAAGCCTAATGAAATCAGCTCTATACACAAAAATAAAAAGACAAACAAGTGTGCAAAGTCTTGCAGATTGTTTTATTTGGAAAGCAGACAGCATGAGTAGAAATGCCTGTCCCCTGCCAGAGTGCTGCAGAGAAGGACCCTTGTTCTCTCTGTACGGAAGCAGCGGTCACTTTGCAGAGGCCCACAATACCCTCTCTGAGGCAGACCCATAGCTCTGCGATCAGTAGAGCTCATGTTCCCTGCTGACTGCTCTAGTGCCATCTCATCAGAAGGTGTAATAGACCTCTACAGGGAGACCAATACTCTCACACACAGAGCAAACATACTTCTCTACAACATGCTGGCAGGCAATAGGATTTTCCTATTAAACTGTGGCTGTTTTTTCTAATGAAAGCAAAAAAAAAAAAAACTGCACACCTTTTGTTTTTATGCACATGGAATGTATTTAGCAGATTTAAATTAAAAGTTCAGTTGGGCTTTAATTGATATTTTACATAACTTTTTTGAAGCCATCTCCTGAAGACCTTGACCTCATGTTACCCGGGGGGGTGGTATTTGGGCTTACAGAAAGTGTATTGACTGATACTGAACCTGCAAGAATAGCAGTGGCCAAGACTAAAAGGAGGATGTAGAGTGCAGTGCTGAAGAATGGAGAGGGCTCTGCCATGGGACAATTATTTTTTTTTTATATATAAAGAGAAGTATGAATTTTTTTTTTTTTTAACTACTTCCCGTCTGGCCCATGTATATAAACGGCCGTACGGAAGCAGTGCAGGGGCGGGTGGCCGTTTATAAACGGCCTCCCCGCTCCCTGCTTGTGCGCACTCCCTAGGAGCATGCAGCACTGCAATCCGGTGCCCGCTGTGTCCTCCGAGTGATCACAGAGGTCACATGGTACAAGGCTATTCACAACAGCTTTGTACCATGTGACAAGCTGTGACCAATCACAGCTCACACAGTATTTCTCAATGGCTGTAAGAATGCAGCCAGAGAGAAGGTGTAAAAGCAATCAGTGTAAAAGAAGTAAAAAAATCTTCATCACCCCCCACAAGTAGTACAGTGTCGCTATGGTGACAGTATGTAAAAAACAAAAAAAAAAAAAATCCAAATAAAATTTAAAAAATAAAATAAAAATGTAAAATTTTTTTTTTTAAATTATAATTTTTGGCTATAAACTAATTTGGGTTTTTTTTTTTTTTTTGCTAAAAAGATAACTGAATACATTTTGGCAAAGATTTATGGAGAAAATTATTTGCAAAATTTTATAAGAAAAGCACTTTTTTTCAAAATTTTTGGACTTTTTCATTTATATAGCAAAAAAAAAAAAAATTAAAATCCCAGTGGTGAATAAATACCACCAAAATAAAGTTTTATCTATCTCAAAAAAATGCTAAAAAATTCATATGGGTACAGTGTTGCATGACCGCACAATTGTCAAAGCGTTATAGCGCTGAAAGCTGAAAATTGGCCTGGACAGGAAGGGGGTGAAAGTGTCCGGACTTGAAGTGGTTAAATCATGTTTACCTAGGTGGATGCAGCATCTATCCCCTGCTGGCTCTAAGTGTGAGAACTCAGCAGTCATATGACTGACCACTAAGTTCTCACAGCCGCTCTGAGTAGAATATGGCTCCGGTCAGTCACCTTTGTCTGCTCTGCCCCCCAAGCGCTCACTGGAACGTTGGGCTGTGGAGGGGGAGGAAGCGACTGGCTCATGCTTTGCTGAGAGCCTGAGCCAGGTGCTGCTCCAGACTCTGGGGTGGATCCCGACCTTTAAGTCGGGATCTTTCCCCAGCCTCGACTGGCTGAGTGATGTCAGCCAACAGCAGACTTCAGCCTGATGTCAGCTGAAAATGGGTCACAGGAGTGTGCAGCCAAAAGAGCTTTGGCTGTACTTCTCCCTTATCTAACTGGGGTATTTTTGTGGAAAACATTGGGGTTGATTTACTAAAATTGAAAAGTGCAAAATCTGGTGCAGCTGTTCATGGTAGCCAATCAGATTGTAACTTCAGCTTGTTCAATTAAGCTTTGACAAAAATTTGGAAGCTGATTGGTTTCTATGCAGAGCTGCTCCAGATTTTACACTCTTCAGTTCTAATACACCAACCCCATTGTATAGTTAGGTTTTAAAGTAAACCTTTCCCAACAGAAACATGGGACCCGCCACTGTGAACCTCCTCCTGAAAATGCAAGTTGCCTTGCTATTGTGCCGACTCTCTGGTTTCAGTCACTGACCAAGTATATTAGGAAGGTCAACAAAGTAAAGGCAAACTTGTTCAATTATAGCATCTCATTGTACTGAAGGGTCAATGTGACTTCCACATCAAAAGATAGTGTCCTTGCAGGCACAGCCAGCATTATAGTGGATGTTGCAGAAAATTGCAAGGTCTGCTTATTGGGTCAGAACCCTCCCCATCCCGCCTTCCCCTATAAAATCACAGGAAAAATGTACCTGCCAGAAAAAAATGTTAGATCATAAACTTACCTTACCCCATGTTTTCCGCCTGCGGTGACTAGATGTGGAAAATCTGATCTGTAGGTGGAGTCTCGTTATTATCCAGTGCAATACAGGGCTATCAACCCTGCATTGTATGTGAAGGAGGCTGCAGTGTGGCTACGGTCATAGTGGCTTAGGGAGGAGGCAGCACTGAACCAGCAGCACAGATCAAGTAATCTTGCCAGAGCGGGGAGCATAGAATAGTGAGTACTACTCATTATTCTGATACCACTAAACCCAACAAGCAATTAACCCTTGCGGTGTGGGGGAACCACTGGAAGGGTATTATTTTGGTTAGTTCCTGGAGTTCAGCTTTAAACTTCAGCTTTATCTTATACACATTACAAAGTTCATAAGTCTACCTGTAATTAAAAAAAAAAACTCTTCTACTGGAAAAATTAAAGCCACCAGTAAAGAAAAACCTATCCTGAGGGGTACAGGAAGGATGCCATTGATTAGTGCTCCTGGAATAGCTAGCTGTTGCCATGCTTTGCCATTGAGGCTCCATGCACACTAGAAGCAGCTATTACCATTTTTTCTGCTCTTAGAAGCTAAATAGTGTTATCCTATGTGTCCATGAATACTACTTTAGGCTATTATTTTTTCTTCAGCTTCAAGGAACAGAAAAAAAAATGTTTTTGTACAGTATTTCAATGCATTTTTCCAGCAGAAAAAAACACTCTAAATGCTCTAAACACTCTTAAGGACTGCTAAAATGTTCCCAACAGCTTTTTCCTAGCGTTTTATTTTTCTACATGTACTGTAAAATCGCTAATAAATTGCGAACACTCCTAAATGCTACTAAAAACCGCTATTACCAGCGTTTTTTCAGCGGTTACTCAACCCAAGACCCTGCATTCACTATATCTGGTCTACCACAAAACACAGGACATGGAAATGCAATTATTTTAATAAATATAAACTGCTAAATACCTTTTCTCATCAGCAGTTAGGGCAGCCTTGTGACTTCTATTAGTGTTCAGCACAGCACTGGTTAAAGCTTGTAGGAGAAGTTTTCTTTCTGCTCTAGGAGGATGCAGAACCCCTGACCTCTGTCTGGACAGTGCTGATTGGACCGGTACTGATCACATGCATTCTCCCACGTAAAAACAAACCTCTCTAGCAATACCCACCAAACTGAGCATGTGCAGAGTGACTCCAGACGATATGTCTTATCAGGAGCTAAGAGGAGGGCACTGGAGGAAGGGGAGTATCAGAGAAGTCAGAATCAAACAGCCTTGTTACACAATGCAGAGGATGGATTACCCCTTAGGATCCACAGTGAGTATAACAAGCATGCTTTACTGAATGTGCAGACTGATTTTACTGTTGTGGGTTTAGGAACACTTAAAAAAAAAAAAAAACGGCTAGTGTGCATGAAGCCTGAATATCATGCTTTGGCTTAAATATTTTTATGGTCATCTAACTGCAATAAGTAATAACATGATGAACTCTGAACTCTTCCTAAGACTTAATTTAGGCATACTCATCCTGGATCAGATTCTGAAGTATGGGAACCAGACACAGGCAATTGGCATTTTCTGGAGGTAATGGCAGCCTAGTAAATCCTTAGGACAAGTGTACGTACTTTAAATAGGGTTGTCCAATAGCCATATATGTAGGCATGACAACACAATTTTATAAAAACCTATAATCCCATGCTGCTGTAAAATACAATATAAGAATTTGGCCATTTCACATAACTGTAGTTAGGATCCATTTTAATCAGATCTCTTAGATTTTAAGCGCCAATGAGCAGGGCCCTCCTAAACCTCTTGTATTGAACTGTATTGAACTGTATTGTTGCTGTATTGTCTCCCACTATATTGTAAAGCGCTGAGCAAACTGTTGGTGCTATATAAATCCTGTATAATAATAATATACGAAACCAAACATAACGCCACATACTGTATCTCATTACGAATCATTAAAACTACTAATGCTCTACTAACTGCTAAAACCAATGGCCACTACTCCATACTCTTACTACTTGACCTCTCTGCGGCTTTTGATACAATTGACCATCCCCCCCTCCTCAAAAAACTCCACTCTCTTGGACTCCGAGACTCTGCTCTCTCCTGGTTCTCCTCCTACCTATCGCAGCGCTCCTTCAGTGTTACCTATAACGCTGCCTCCTCCTCTTCACTCCCTCTTTCTGTTGGGGTCCCTCAAGGTTCTGTCCTTGGACCCCTTCTCTTCTCCATCTACACCTCCTCCCTTGATCACTTAATAAACTCCCACAGCTTTAAGTACCATCTCTATGCTGATGACACACAAATCTATCTTTCTACTCCTCACCTCACCCCTTCAGTCTCCTCTTGCATTACTAACCTACTAAGTGACATATCGGCATGGATGTCACTCCACTTCCTCAAACTCAATCTTTCCAAAACTGAGCTCTTAGTACTCTTAGTAAAAAAAAAGGGGGGAAAATGTCAGTGCGACTTATGGAGCGAATATGGAGTGGCCAGTCCGGTATTTCCACCACTGCCACCGCGTGTCAGAATACTGGGCCGGCCGCTCAGCTCTTCTCTGCAGCAGGACCTTACCTGTTCTTCGGTCCAGCGCTGTACAGTCTTCCCGCGCCAGCATCTGTGACAGCCAGGTGCCCACTGCGCATGCTCGAGAAGCGCTGCGGTTTGTGAATGGTCCGGTGTCTTCTGAGACATGACAGGTCCCAGAAGACGCCGGGCCATTCACAAAGCGTAGCGCTTCTCGCGCATGCGCAGTGGGCAGCCCGGCTATCACAGCCAGGTGACCACACTAAAGGGAGGACAACTCTGCGGAAGTCAGAGCGGGTACCTGTCAAATTCAGGTACCCGCTCCCCCTCCCTTCTCAAAGGTCCGCAGTCTCTTGGTCATCCTCTGTACTGTCTGCAGTCTCTGATCATCCCCTGTACTGTCCGCAGTCTCTTGGTCATCCCCTCTACTGTCCGCAGTCTCTTGGTCATCCCCTCTACTGTCCGCAGTCTCTTGGTCATCCCCTCTACTGTCCGCAGTCTCTTGGTCATCCCCTCTACTGTCCGCAGTCTCTTGGTCATCCCCTCTACTGTCCGCAGTCTCTTGGTCATCCCCTCTACTGTCCGCAGTCTCTTGGTCATCCCCTCTACTGTCCGCAGTCTCTTGGTCATCCCCTCTACTGTCCGCAGTCTCTTGGTCATCCCCTCTACTGTCCGCAGTCTCTTGGTCATCCCCTCTACTGTCCGCAGTCTCTTGGTCATCCCCTCTACTGTCCGCAGTCTCTTGGTCATCCCCTCTACTGTCCGCAGTCTCTTGGTCATCCCCTCTACTGTCCGCAGTCTCTTGGTCATCCCCTCTACTGTCCGCAGTCTCTTGGTCATCCCCTCTACTGTCCGCAGTCTCTTGGTCATCCCCTCTACTGTCCGCAGTCTCTTGGTCATCCCCTCTACTGTCCGCAGTCTCTTGGTCATCCCCTCTACTGTCCGCAGTCTCTTGGTCATCCCCTCTACTGTCCGCAGTCTCTTGGTCATCCCCTCTACTGTCCGCAGTCTCTTGGTCATCCCCTCTACTGTCCGCAGTCTCTTGGTCATCCCCTCTACTGTCCGCAGTCTCTTGGTCATCCCCTCTACTGTCCGCAGTCTCTTGGTCATCCCCTCTACTGTCCGCAGTCTCTTGGTCATCCCCTCTACTGTCCGCAGTCTCTTGGTCATCCCCTCTACTGTCCGCAGTCTCTTGGTCATCCCCTCTACTGTCCGCAGTCTCTTGGTCATCCCCTCTACTGTCCGCAGTCTCTTGGTCATCCCTTCTACTGTCCGCAGTCTCTTGGTCATCCCCTCTACTGTCCGCAGTCTCTTGGTCATCCCCTCTACTGTCCGCAGTCTCTTGGTCATCCCCTCTACTGTCTGCAGTCTCTTGGTCATCCCCCTCTACTGTCTGCAGTCTCTTGGTCATCCCCTCTACTGTCTGCAGTCTCTTGGTCATCCCCTCCACTGTCTGCAGTCTCTTGGTCATCCCCTCCACTGTCTGCAGTCTCTTGGTCATCCCCTCTACTGTCTGCAGTCTCTTGGTCATCCCCTCTACTGTCTGCAGTCTCTTGGTCATCCCCTCTACTGTCTGCAGTCTCTTGGTCATCCCCTCTACTGTCTGCAGTCTCTTGGTCATCCCCTCTACTGTCTGCAGTCTCTTGGTCATCCCCTCTACTGTCTGCAGTCTCTTGGTCATCCCCTCTACTGTCTGCAGTCTCTTGGTCATCCCCTCTACTGTCTGCAGTCTCTTGGTCATCCCCTCTACTGTCTGCAGTCTCTTGGTCATCCCCTCTACTGTCTGCAGTCTCTGGTCATCCCCTCTACTGTCTGCAGTCTCTGGTCATCCCCTCTACTGTTTGCAGTTTTTGGTCATCTCCTGTAATGTGTCTGCAGTCTCTGGTCATCTCCTGTACTATGTCTGCAGTCCATTGGTTCAGATTATTTTTTTTCTTGTTCTTCTCCTCTAAAACCTAGGCGGGTCCTATGGTCAGGTGCGTCTTATGCAGAAAAAAATACAGTAAAACATTTTTTTCCCAAAACATAGCACAAATTGTCCAGTCTGCAATATATATTGTGAATGGACACATCACTGCTTTAAAGCTGCACCCCATGCCATCAGATGGCACAACCAGTTATGCTGCTCTGGGATCAGGTTTCCAGAGTCTAAATCACTTCTCAAAACACAAAGACACTGCTTTTATTATGGGATATATTTATAAAAAAGTTAAATCAGACATTCACCAAATATTACCTGTGGATGAATCTTGCTAGGGCATGTGTTTTAAATCAGTGATTGATTCACCACCTGTGTATGTTTGGTGAAACCATATTCCCTGTAAATATGCTATTCACCTATTCCAGTTTTTCTTTGAAGCTCCATATCCCTTCAGTTTATGAAGTACAGTACCTAATAAAGCCTACTGATGGCACTGTTGTAGCTGCAGAGGAACAGAATAATTTTTCTATTTTTTTTTTTTTTCATTCAACACAGAGGCAGAACAGGATTGCACAAAGAAATGCATACATTGGTTATTGATTGATAACTATGAAGCTGCTCATCATCCTCTAACGTTGATGTCCACTTTATAACTATGGAATCTATTATTTTAAAGCCGAACCTTGGGCAAGCGGCCAAATATAAAGCTAAGACAAAAAGTATAAATTAATGGCAGAATACCCCCCCACCCCAATAAAAAATGAAAAAGGGACACCTATGTATTGTGGTATAAGTGGGCATAGCTTTATCATAATGAGCATACAAACATAACAGCAATGCAGAAAATGCCCGACAGCAGCTCCCTTTTACCAGCGCCACGAGTCAAAATACGGTCAGAAACCACTCACATGGTGCAAAAAATTGGAAAGACTACTTACAGTGTGAAATTATTGTCAGAAGACCGTATAACACCATGACTCCAATCCTTATTGTGCCACTTTTCATACCATGCTACCAGGAGAGTGCCATCTTTTACACTATCATTAAAGCCCCTGGCACGTCATGTTCCAGAATAGTGCCTGCCATTACACTATGCCCTGTATCCCTACTGACCTAATATATCCCCTTACACTATGGCCAAAGGAGAGCGCAACCTCTCTTACCATGCCCACAAATGTTTGTGCTTCCATATGTCATTCTCACATCAGGCCTACAATATAGTGAAACCACTCACACCATGCAACCCAATCATTAGTACCGCTCTACATGTCTTATACACGCATAGAGCAAGGCTCGGGAGCGAGCATGCACCAGTACCCCCATAGCAAGCAGCTTGCTATTGGCGGTACTGGTCAAGGGGAGGAGCACTGGCAGAAGACCTGGGAAGAGGAGGATTGGGGCAGCTCTGTGCATAAGCACATGCAAAAGCAGGAAAGTATGACTCGTTTGGTGTTAAAGGGAAAAAAAATTTCATATATATAAATTTATCATATATATATATATATATATATAATATATATATATATATATATATATATATCTATATATCTCAACAACTAGTATCACTTTAACATCAAAAGGTTATGCGGTGTTCTACTTGTGTATACAGGGGTGCTATAGTAAACACCAGTATAGCTCACTGGTTTTTGCAAAAAAATAGAGAATGTTCTATTTTTTGCATACACCCGTACACTGTACTTCTGTTCAATAACGCTGTCATATACAGAGCCATTCATGACAGGCTGTACACTGCACCTGGGCTTTGGGGTCAGAGTTGGGAATTACTCTGAAAGGGCTCAGCACAGTAAGGCCC